ACGTCCATTAAATTAAACCTTTTACCCCTTAGAATGACAAGCTGCTAATGTCGCCAAAAAATATCACTTCTTGATCTAATATTAAAGTCATGAGAAAAAAAAAAACGATACTACTACGAACTATAGGTTAGTACAACTTGTCAGTATCATACAGTACATGTAAAAATCGTTTCAAAACAGTGCGGAGAATGTGCATACTGATGTTGGATTGTAAAGGGTAAATGTGACCAAAAGTCTCCGTAAACGTAACGTACATTGTGGAATTTTGATCTTAATATGTGGTTATGTGTTAAGTGAACGAATTAAGATCCCTTAAGCTGCTGGTTGGTACCGATGTTAGTTTACTTACAGCGAATAAAGTAAGCCCAAGATTTTTCCATACGATTTTCTGAGATCTGTTACCACAAGACACGAATTACAGTATTCCTCCGCTTTGAGGTTGCTTTTGTTCGTGTTATTTCATATTTAAACGCTAGAATTAATAAAATTGTAATTTTTACTTACCGGAGATGGTTCAGTTCCGCACTGAGATATAAAATCTAGCACACTATCAAGTGACACTCGAAGTCCAAGCCCGGTTCCTCTTTTGCCAGACGAAGCAATTCCACCAACCTCAGCTATGGCTTCACGCAGCGCTTTGTGTTTCATCAAGAACTTCAGGAAGGAACCATAACCGAACGCTTCAAAACCATCAAATCCTGAATATCTGTTCATGACATTTTCCTCAATTCTGGCTAGCGTCGCTAGGTCAGTGTGCTCCGCCTTATTCAGCCACTCATTTACTTCTTTGACAATAATTCCTATCACACACATATAAAACGATGAAAAATTATTAAAATGAACTATCTATGAACTATCTATGAATACCATTAAAATAAGCGATTAGAACTTATACCGTTATTGTTCTTGTATAAATGGCGGGATGAATGCACCAGTTTTCGAGAACAGCATGTTCACCGATGACAAAAGCTATGAAATAAGCATTCACGCGTGTGTTTGCATTAAGAACGCGACAACTGGTTACAAAAGGGCGCCTTAGCTGATTCTACCGAATTACGATGCACAGTGAATAAATTTATTTTGAACAAATTCCAAACCCTTGTGACGGATTTTTTTCTACGAAGTAAGAAATAGTTATTTTGATATAAGAATTCCGTTGGAATTTAAATATTCCAATTACGAAGTGGCATTAGTAACAGCATATCGGGAAGGTCGGTTCGAACGGTGATTGAAACGAACAAGTTTGCTTGTCGTTGGTAACCGTATAGTAGTTTAGTGCTATCACATCGTAGTTTATTCTTTAAAACGATAAACCGCCAGCTAGGAAAACAATAGGAAAACAATAGGAAAACAAAAAGACTACTTCAAACATACTAACGAGGCAGATGTATCAAGTTTATGCGCGCACGTGCGATTTTTTTATGCACACGATTTGTTTAAATTCGCAATTGCATGCGATTTTTGGCGCGTTTTATTCGCGTTATTTTGTTAACGTATACGCGAGTGGTACAGTAGTTTCCTCAATAGCGCAATAAGTTCCTTATACAGCGAGGAAGTACAGCACGCTCTTAGCTCGAAATCCAGCCTGGTGGTTTCAGAATGTTTTCCCCAAAATAAACTAAAACAAAAAATATCAAACCTTCGCTTGGTGGATCTGGCCCTGTTTCTGTCTCCGTGTGACTTGCCAGGCTGGCAGCTGCCTCGAGCTCTGTCTTCACTCTCTCATTAACCAGGTTTTCCAAGGCGTCTCCCAACAGACGCTTACAACTCATATAGAGTGCGAGCTGAAATAATTGCCTCCCGAGCGAATCCTCAATAACTGTGGTTAGGAACTGAGTGATCCCTTTTTCACGACTGCCCTCAAACATCTCCAAGCAGCAATTGAACACCGCCTTCAGGGCGTCTGATGGGGATGTGTCGAGAAATTTCTTGACACAGCTCCTTGAGTCGCCATGATCTTGTCCAAGAAGATCTTTCTTGATTTTTTGCAAGCGTCTCTGGATTTCTTCGTCCATGTCAGCTGACACCTGTTCTCTGATATCTTTCCACTTCTCGCTCTCGCAACGTTTGGCTTTTTTAATCACCTAACAAATTAGTTAAAACAAATAAACAGCCCATATTGATTAATCAAAATGAGGTCGCTGAAGGATATCAAGGGGGCTCGTTCACTGATGCTTTAATTCCCTTTGGGCCAACCCAGAGACGTATAATAATGATTTTAAAAGGTCAAAAATAACGCGCGCGCTTTGTTAGACTTGATCTTGAGCTTAAAATAAAGGAACGTAAAGCAAAATATTGAGTAACATCACCGAGATAGCCAGTCCAATGCTCTGTATCCGGACGCCAAGTTCAAAAGGAGTGCCACACTGATACTCTTCAGAGAGGTACTCCATGAATTTCTCTAAATCAACTTTCTTGCGCCACAGATCTTCCTCGTCCATGTAGTTCTCCAAGTGCTTCAAAATCTGAATAGTTGTTACGTGAGGTACCTGGGGAAGACCTTGAGGAGCCTTAAACATGTCATACACCACAGGCTGTTTCAAAAGAGGACCCAAATTGAGCTCCTCGAAGTCTGATTTTAAAAACAAATCAGAAAGGCTTTGGTTCAATTCGTACAAAGTGGAGATGCTGTTTGACATGACGTACGCATGGACGAATAAGTTGACCTTCGGGATTCACACAGATAAAATAGATCAGATAAATTGAATGTGACTTTTTTGCTTCTACTAATCTATCTTTGTCGTGTCAATTAAACATTGTGTTAGAGGAAGGAACCAATAGGACGTGAGGTAACTGAACTAAAAGCAGCATTTTTACCATGATTAGTTTTTGGTTTTGTGGTCAAATAAATGCCTTTCCCTGATTTGAACCATGAGTGGATATAATGCAAGAATGTTATAGCCAAAATATTTTAGGTGGTCATAGTTTTCTCAATATGCCACTTCTTGAAAATGTTGTGTCAACAGATTGCAATATAGAACAACAGAACCATACCAAGGTCAGGGACTTCAAAACTCTGAAAAATGGACAAGAACTGGTACTGAACATGCAATTAAGCAAACATTCTTGTAATTAATCCTGCATAAAAAAACTGAAAAAGGATGGGATCTTCCAAACGTGACTACTTTACATAAAATTTAACTCACTTTAGCCTGCTTTTCAATTAGCTCCTTCAGGGCAGGAATATCTCTCTCTGTTCTGAAACCAAAAGCAGAAAGACTTGTTTTTCCAAATTCTTTGCACAGGGCAGCTTTTACCTTCTCCAGACCAACAAAGCGATCTTTTTCTGACAAGGAAGTGATGATCTCTTCTGCTGCCTTGTTAACTTCACGAAAAGAAGCATTTCTCACAGATTTTCCCTTGCTTGTTATGCTATTCATTTCATTATGGGCATGGCTGATTGACCTCTCAAAAGGACCTGGAGTGCCAACTTCTCGAATCCTTGTTTCATTGTACTTAGGAAGTGGAAAAAGATGCTCTCTTCTTGCTGGACTCGGCATGTTCACCTCTGGTAGTGGCCTTTCATGGCCAGCATGAGGAGAAGGGAGGCCTCCGATAGCAAACTGCATTTCTTCTTCAGCTTGTTGTTGCCTTATTTCAGCAAATGGCAATGATTGGGCCTGTGGACTTCCAGTAGAGAGTTTTGTGTTTTGTGATGGGGTCCTATGTCGTTGGGCTCTTGAAGCTACAGACACAAAAATTATGGAGTTTTGTGGTGAGTAGAAGGAAACAGTGCATTTAACAGTAACAGTTACCATAGCTATCTCTGCACCAGTACACAACTATATAATTGTCATCAATCAATTTAGGTGGGTCAACAACACTTGCAGATCTTATTTCAGAATGGCCTCCGATTGTATTATTACCGGCCAGTTCAGTTCGTCAAGTATTAAAATGCAGCAGACTGGTATTGGAGGGTGGTGGGTTCAACAACAACCAGGTCCTTGAAATACAAGTACATGTACCTGGTACAGTCAGATCATTCTGACTATGTACTGGGAGCATTGCTTCATCTCAAATCATCATATTAAATTACTGTGCTATTAAGCTCCTGGCCTTTACAGCTAAATCATGGGTAAGGACTAAAAGTATTTTCTGTTTTCAGTGTTGGTGACTTTTCACTTGTGTTCTTCCAGTGAACCGAAAAAAAATCAACGTCTAAATAAGTAATTTCTATTGATTTCTTTTCAAAAACTCTTTTTTGAAAAATATGAGGTGCCAAACTAGAATTACGGCGTTTCTGTGAGTGTGGCTGACATGTCCATGTTAGCAGTATTAAGTCTAATAAACTGAGGAACCCATATCATCTTTTGTAAAGAATTGGCAGAAAAACCTTGTAAAATATGGTGAGGATTTGTGAAGAAAAGAAAAGGCAGTTGGGCTTGTAAGAATTTTACTTTCTTAAACACCACCATATATTGAAGTAGTTGACAGACATTCTGTCAACTACTTCAATATATGGTACTTCATATATTGAACGGAGAGATTGTTGGCAATCGCTCCACAAATTCTGCGATAAACACGAAATAAACTCGATTTTGTAATGTTAAATCGATCGGCCACTGATCGCAGGCATCAGGGTTCCCAAGTATCCGTATCGTAATCATTACTTGCTTCTGTAAGTCGAAGGTAGGTC